CACTATTACACTTTGCCACTGCACACTTCGTTTTGCTTTGTAATGTCTCAATTATTGTTTAAAACCACGCAGAAATATTAACACACAAATATTAAAATTGTTATTTAGTTTTTTCGCATGCTCACAATCAACAATTGCACCAAGATGACGTCACGCACACAGCTGATTCTGTCAAAATCACAAAGAGCGGATTAGCGGTACCGCGATTGGCGCAATATCTATTTCTCTCAATCGTGAGATAGTGTTACAGGAGCAGTTGAAATTTTCGCCGGATGTTTCTTAAAGAAAGTCATAAACGTAGCGACCGTTGGTTCAACTTGGTGTTATTTTGCTCTAGATTGCACCGTTTGGGGGCCTGTTGAATGAATTTATATCTTGGTTGTATGAAAGATCAAAAAATTTGGATTTTCTGGCAAGTTATCGCTACACGTTGTACAAACTCATTTAATTTGCGTTTATTTTGTACACTAAATAACCGAAAATGGATAACTCAGCCGAAATAGGTACGTACTTTCGTTGAATTTTATAAATGTAAGCCGAGACTATGAAATTGTAAAAATGAGATTCTACAATGACACTGCTCGCAAAATTGCAATGTTTGTGGGAAAAACGTCCAACTTGATCGCGGATTGATTTGAACCAACGCTTTGGGCTTGCATTATGTCAAAAGGATGTGTTTGTTGTAATTCATTCTGTCATTTACTACCATTATGCGTAGGCCAATTCATGAAATCATTTCATGCGTTTGAGTAGAAACTGAATGAATGAACAGCATTCCATGATTACAATTAACGTGAAATAGAGTTTATGCACTTAGTTTTTACTCAGATCGATGAAATGATTTCGTGAATTGGACTACGCATACATATGATACTTATGCTTTTAATTTATAAGGTAATTTTATGTTTTTATACTCTTGCTACCACATGAATATATGAATTCGTGATAAGAATATATGAATTCGCCTTGGAAGATAGAAAGCGAGTAAGAATAAATGCCGAACAAAGGATTTTGTCTTCTTTCAACTTAAACAAATGCATTTTGCAAACAAAAGTGCGTACGTTACTTAGTGCTTTTGTAATGGCGAATTCGTAAGGATCTATTGATTGCATTATAAACATTTTCATTGATTTGTTAAACATACAATTACTTCCATTACAACCCGGTCCTATGGATGCTAGAAGCGCGAATTCATATAAGGTGTTGTTACCGGAAAATGAATAAATAAATTATATGTATATCAGAAAACTAATAAGATGAAATGAAATTATTGTTTGATTTCTAACCAAACAAACCTATGAATGTAACTCAATGGCCAAATGGCTTGCCGATGCGTAAACATATGTTTACACATCCAATTTCGTGAGTAGGTACCTGCTACTCACACTTTTTTTAACAAGCTTCACTTCTATCATGTGTACGGTGTTACACACGCATTTTTTTTATAGAGATATACATTGGATCCTTGGCTAAAAACTTCTGTGGTAAAACTCTCCCCTTACGTCTTCCTTCTTTGATATTTAAAGTCAAAGAGTAAGCTCCTTCAATAGGAATTTCCAAGAGAAATGGTCAACGTTTGGCTATAAAGAGAATCGATGCTCAAATAATTAAAAATCTATAGGCCTGATCTTTAATTAGGTAAGAATTACGTAACTGTTATTATCCGTGATTCCAATAATTCAAATGCTTATAAAAAAAGACAATATTCTGATCCGATTCGGCTGGCAGCCACGACTTTGAAAACAGAAGTTTGTTCAAACTTTTTATTCCTGGAAAATAATAATTTATTTTCCATATCCACCTACCCAGCAAAAAACACGATTACTACAGAATCGAAAGTGGAAGCGAGCTTGGCGATGGGAATCGCTTACCCTTTCGCTTCAAGAAGGCATTATTTTAACACGGTCATGTCATTGGGGGTAAGCCCTTACCCGCAGCATTACCTCAAACGAAGGGAGAACGCATGGATAACCAGAATCCAGAGAAGCGAACAAAGAATGCCTTACAGAGAAATGTAGAATGTAGAATGCCTAGATAATAATAATAATAATAATAATAATATCCCAACGGTTTTTACCCTCCATTCCCGCCCATCCGCACGAGGGGCGCAGTCCGCATGACGTACGGAACCAATATTTTAAATTTTTGCGCCGAGTCACGATAGGCAGGAGTTTGTTAAGTGTCGAGATCTAAAACTGTTCAGCTAAAGAACTAAATTCATCAGCTGATTTTATGTATTTATGTCAATAATTCACTTATTGAGAGAGGAGAGTATCGCTTTCTTAATGCTGAAAAGCGGATCTGATATATCAAACGTGCTGGAATGAGAGTTAAAATCCTGGCAACGGAGTGGGTCGTGCAATTCAAAATTGGTTTTACAAGCTTTCAGAAATATGGGACAAAAGTGTCTTGATACGCGTGAGGGAACATTAAAGCTTACATCAGCCAGAAGAGACGGACTTGAAATTGAGCCTGTCAGTAATTTAACCATAAAAATTATACCAAGCATTTCCCTGCGACTGGCAAGTGTAGGAAGGTTAATAAGTTTTAAGCGACTCGTATAAGGTGGAAGACTGTATTGAGAATCCCATCGGAAATTTCTTAAAGCAAAAAGTAGGAATTGTTTTTGAATTGATTCTATCTTGTCTGAGTAAATTTGATACCTTGGATTCCAAACCACCGAGCCGTATTCCAGAATCGGCCTAACTAATGTTGTAAACAGGGTTTTAGTGATATAAGGGTCACTAAATTCTTTTGACCATCGTTTCACAAATGCAAGTACACCTTTAGCCTTGTTGACTGTCACATTAATGTGAAGATTAAAATTAAGCTTAGGATCCATTGTGATACCAAGGTCCACAAAATTGTATACCTGTTCCAGGTTATGGTTACCTATTATATAAAAAACTGGCAGAACAGCTCTTCGCGAGAAGCACATTACTTTACATTTCTTAAGCTTTAGAGGCATAAGATTTACTTTACACCAGTAAGCCATGCTGTTTAAGTCTGATTGTAGCAAAGACCTTTCTTCAATTGAAAAGTACGATTTATAAAGTTTTATATCATCTGCATACATTAAAATTTTGGAGAATTTTATATCTGTAGAAATATCGTTTATAAAAAGCAAGAACAGAATCGGGCCTAGGTGGCCACCCTGAGGGACGCCTGAAGTAACATCAATGACGTCAGAGATAGTATTTTTAAACAATACCCTTTGTGATCTATCATAGAGGTATGAAGAGATCCAACGTAGAAAATTAGGTGGAAGACCAAGAAGATCAAGTTTATAGATGAGCAACGAGTGGCACACTTTGTCAAATGCTTTACTGAAATCAGTATATATAACATCAACAGGTTTGCTCTCACTAAATGCTTTTGAGATATCGGATGTTAATTCAAGTAAATTTGTAGAAGTTGATTTGCCCTTGCAAAATCCATGTTGACTATATGAAATGCTTGAAGTGATAGAATGCGTCAACCGATTTGTTATAATTGCTTCAAATAATTTAGGAATTGCAGAAAGCTTAGCTATGCCCCGGTAGTTCTCCACTGAAGACCTGCTACCGCTTTTATGTAAGGGGGTTATGAACGATTCCTTCCATACAGTTGGAAAAACGCCCTCTTTAAGAGACAAATTAAAAAAGGCTGTTAACGGCTCATAGAGATAATCAGCACAATTTCTAAGAAAACAAGTGGGGATCTGGTCAGGACCATAACTAAAAGACTGCTTTAAGGACTTCAGGTAAACTAAAACATCATCGGGAGATATTATAGGGTTATGTATTGAGTTAATTGGAC